AAATGGAAAGAGTGTAGGTAATATGGAATTATTTTTTTAGGTATGATAATGTTATTGTAGCTATGTAGGCTAGTGTTCTTAGGATGTTAGGGATGAAGTTTCATGATAAAACTTTTAAAAGGCTATGCAAAATATATGAAAAGAAAAAAATAGCAAAATTAACATTTACTGAATCTAGATAGAACATATATATGTATATATGTGTTCATTGAACTATCCAGCTTTGAAAACTCAATAGAAGTGAAGCAAAAGAAAAAAATAGCAAAATTAACATTTACTGAATCTAGATAGAACATATATATGTATATATATGTTCATTGAACTATCCAGCTTTGAAAACTCAATAGAAGTGAAGCATATGTACATACACACAGGATACTTCAAAATGTTCGTGGAAAATAGAATGACATAATATGAATACAAATCTTTCCATGAACTTTTTGATGTACCCTCATACATACTCATACAGTCTCTATTTTTCTTTTGTGCCTATTTTACTTTTCCAAGTTTTATATTGAGTATATCCTATGATTAAATTCAGAATGGCAATAAAGATTATTAAAAATAAAGAAATGTTAGTGATTCCTGGGTCCAGCATTGATAAGTCAGCTTTACCCATTCTTGTTGCTAGGCTGTGACTATAAAAGGATTGTCTTTCAGCCTTCAAAGAACTAAGACTCAAGTTGCTCCCACTAGATTAATGGTCCACTCAGAAATCGCCCAGGAAGTGTTTGGTTCATAAGTGTTCCTGAAAATTCCCCATCAATGGCACACGTTTGGAATAGACTTCCTCTATTGCCAAGGAACATGGGCAAATTTAAGCCACTTACTAGCCTTTTGTAATGTACAAAAAACTATTTAAAAGAAAAAGAAATCAGGGAAGAAAAATGTCGGCAGCTATTTCTCTTTTTTTTAGTTTTATTTTATCAATATACAATGTAGTTGGTTTTCATGTCCCTTTACAGAATCCTCCCTCCCCTCTCCCTGTCCACCCTCCATCAACATCATATCTGTTCCCTTGTCTGAACAAGTTCAAGGAATCGGCAGCTGTTTCTAATCGTTGTGACTTGTAGATGTGGGGAGGGCCTCCCGTTTTGGCATTTTAAAGCGGTATTCCTGAGGTCCACAATCCCCATTTGACCATTTTGAGGGAGGATATATTTAGAGAAGTATTTTTATAGATGCTTTCATAGTGGGAATACGTTATTTGCATTCTGCATGCAGAACTGCCCCCCCCCCCCATTCAATTAAAAACAAATTCCAGCCAAAAGCTTATTTGAGAATTTTTTTTTTTTTTTTTAAAGATGACCGGTAAGGAGATCTTAACCCTTGACTTGGTGTTGTCAGCACCATGCTCAGCCAGTGAGCGAACCGGCCGTCCTTATATGGGATCCGAACCCGGGGCCTTGGTGTTATCAGCACCACACTCTCCCAAGTGAGCCATGGGCCAGCCCAAATATTTGAGAAATTTTTGAACTGCTCTCAATAAATAACTGATTTGAACTATAGGGCTACAATACTGCTATGCAGTTTGGTTATATTTTGAAGGCAATTATCTCCTGGTAGAGTAACATTTTGGGAAGCTAAATGTCTCTGAGTCATGTCAGCTTTAAAATTTTTAAATCTTGGAAGTAGATCAGGAAAAGTTCTGAGCAAAAACTTTACTAGAATGTACAATGCTCCAAGAAGGTCCTCAGGCATTGTACTTCAGACACTTTCCAACAGTTTACTTTGATACTCAGCAGGTCAATCAATCCCCGGAAATTTAGGCAATGTGCACACTGCCATTCACTCATCCTAAGAGCATGAATTGCATTTCTACTCTGCACTATGCTGCACTCAGTGAAAAATGTTGCCACTGTTGTCAGCCTGGGTAGAAACCTTTGAAGGCGGTTAGACACTAAGGGCCAGTATGCACAGAAACTCAACTTCTCATCTTTTGGTAGCAGTAGGTGGTGGGTTGGGGATCTGAGGACCCATATCCTGTGGAGGGGCAGACTTCCCAGTTGATCCCAGTAGCAGCTCCCAGGAGCTGTGAAAGTCATAGAAACGAACTTCATGCTCAAAAATATAATACCAAAGGCTCCACTAATCTGGGCATCCCCAAATTGGTCCTCCACACTGAGTTGTAGACTGGCTGAGGTTTTTACCATGGCACAAAGCTTGGGCAGAAATTCCCATTCCTGAGTGTATGGTAAGGTTTCAAGGCAAGAGAATACAGACTTTTGCCCGCTGGTGAAGGAAGCAAGCTGCAGGTGCCAGATTCTAATCCTAGTCCTTAAGAGTGCAGAACCATGGCTTCAGCTGTCAATACTTTGAATCTTCTGTGCCCCCGGCAACCAGAGGAAGTTATGGGTGGATTCAATCTGGTAGAGAGAGTGAGGCCTCCAAGAAGAGGGGATGGAAGAGTCCCCTTGAGCACATCTAAAAAAACTCCCAATGCATTATACAGAACATTCACCTTGAGCCTGGTGCTGTGTGCTGTATGGGAGGACAGGCCCTCAGGAGCTGAGCTGGGTGAAGTACAAGTGTGCTTCAGTGAAGATTTGTGTTGCTCTCCCCAGAAGACTATAAGGGGAAGACTTGCAGGCTGAGGGGAGAGAAAGAACTGTGGATCCTAGCAACTGTTCCATGTGATGTTTGGCTGCATGCCATCCCTCATCCCTCATAGCCTAAGTTATCCAGCCATAGCTGATTGACATGGGGCCCAAGTCTCCATGGGAAAACCCCTAAATTGTGTCCATAATTGGGGTCCAGACAATACAGACATTGCAGACAGATAAGGGGGTCTGATGGAAGCTAGAGTACAAGGAGGGACAACAGGGAGTATTCCTTAAAAAAAATCACCATAGTGCAGACAGAGTCTGGGTAAGATCAGCCTCTGGGGCCTCAGAAGAAGATGGTGGTTCAAGACAAGGTATGAGACTAAATTGGACATGTCCTGTTCCAGCCTCCTGAGCTAGACAAAGGGAAGACTCTGGTTAACTCAAGAGGATGATAAACTAGAAGCCCTAGCAATTGTGAAACCTCTCTTTTCTCCAGCAGTGGGCCCTGGCAGTGGTGTGTCACAGCCAAGCTTATCACAGCTTGCAAGAACTGATTATACCCATTTCTTCCCAACTCTTGTTCAGTGACCCCATATTGGTAGTTTGAAACTGGCCATGGTGGGAGTATTTACAAAATTGTAATTGGCAAATACTGCAAATCAGGACTCCTGATTTGTACAAATTCTTCCCCAGAGAGCTGGTTGGTAAACATTTACCAGCACACCACTGACCCAGGAAGAAAATGGCCAGAGGGACAGGTGAACACAAAGAACATTCCTTCTACAATGGAGGACAGAGAGGACATCAGTAGAGGCTGGGCAGTGAGTCCAGGGACAATGCTTCAAATCCCATGAGTTGGCCCCTGTCCCTTTCCTTCTTCCCCATTGTGCTTCTTAGAGAGAATGAGCCAGTCTACTGAGATCATTCAATCTGTCTTTAGTGAGGATACAAAAGAAAATGGGGTCTGGGGAACTTTCAGAAAATGCATGGCTGAGACCACACAGTTTTGAATACTACTTTGTATCCACTTAACATTGCAATGGTATGGTTCCCACATCATTAAATATTTTGACTATATAATGATTACTTAATGTATCTTCCACTTCACGAAGTACTTTAACTATTCTAATGTTGAACACTGAACATTTTAGGTTGTTTCTGTTTCTGGGTTTTGTTTTTGTAATTTATTTATTAATATTAGGGTAAGTAATGGGAGTTAGCTGACACTGGACACTCTAAGTGGGCAGTTGGGGATGGAACAGTTATTTAATAACTGCCTTTAAAGACAGGGAACTCCCTCTGAGCTCCTTTTCAGTAGGCTGGAGATCCTAGGACAGTATAGATTTACTTATATAGTATTGTCATAAAACACATTTGTACTTAAATTATTGTCTGCATTTTGGATTACTTCCTTAGAACAGATTCTTAGAAGAAGCACTACTGCTTATAAATTTATTTTTTTTTTGCCACCACCAAATTGCTCTTCCTGAAAGGAATATACCAACCTATGCTCATACCTGAATATGTGCAACAGTTTCACCGGCCCTGCTATTTTCCTTTCTAAATGTGGTATGATTTAATTTCTTTTCTCATTTAGAGAGGTAGACAATTTTTCATGAGGTGGTTCCCCTGGATATTTGCTCCCCAAATGTCTGCCCCCAGACCCTGTGCCCTAGTGGAGCAGGGGCTGGAATGATGCAAGGCTCTGGGAGCCGCTGGGGTCAGGCACTGTGCTCCACTGCCATTTGAGGAGAATGTACCACAGCTGGCTCCTCAGCAAATGCTGAGGCCAGACCGCCCTCTTCAGCCTGGGCCAGGACAACTCCCCATGCAGGCTCCTTGCCCCCAGAGGTACTGGAGTGCCTTCGTGGAATTCTCTGAGCAAGCGGTGCCTGGAAAAGAGGGAACTCTCCCATTGAACACTATTTTCCTGGACCCACCAGGTACTGACAGATCAGATAATGGTTTGGTTTTCTTCCCTACAGATGTTTGAAATGCATGACAAGAGGTTTACGGCTTGTGTTTTGGGAGACTAAGCCCTAGTCACTTCTCCCCCCACCCATGTGGCCGCTAGGGCCCCACCCGTCTCAGGACCTGTGGCAAAGCAGATGCTTTCAGGAGCATCCCCTTGACGCCTAACCCAAAAAACCTCAAGGGCAAGTGCCGGAAAGGGAGGAGACCTCACATCTTAGGGCGACTGGATGTGGTGGCCACAGCTGAGGATCTCCACCCACTGGCTCTGAACCTGAGGCCTGCTGCCGGCCTAGTCTACGGAACCTACGTACAGCGACCTTGCGCGAGGACCAGTCCCCAACGAACCCCCGGTGGGTCCTAGCTCTAGGCCCCTTCCTCACCAGTCGGGGGAGCTCCTGAGGCCAGTGCGCTGCCACATGGCCCCGGGACGGGCTGGGGGTCGTAGAGTCACGCAAGGTCCTGAGGGAGCATCTGCGCGAGATGCACAATGTTCTCCAGAGTGTCGGAGCCGCTCCAGGCGGAGCTCGTTCGGCCCAGCGCCCGAAACCGAGGCGGCGCTGGGAAGTAAGATGGGGGAGCATGAAAGAAACGTCTGCCTGCGGCTCACATTTCTCCGGCCAGGACTGGGGGAGCCGCCTGCAGCTCAGCCCGCGGGCAGCCGGGATCTTTCCAGAGGCCCGACAGCCAGGCGCACGGCGTACCCCGAGCTGGCTCCGCGGCGCCGCAGCTGCCCGCTTTACCACCCGGGGGCCCGCTC